GCTGCCAGCCTACGACAAACTGTGTTAATGTGTTTTATTCTAAACTAACTGTTGAAGTGAGGACACTTCAAGGCCGGCAGTATGTTCAGTTCTTTTATCTAAAAATTTTTTTTAGCCTGTTTAGAATTTTTAAATTACTAAAACAGCTGATGATTTAAAGATAATCCATTGTATTATATAAATAAACATTATTCCTTTCTGTTCTTCTTGTAAACATGACTTTTATTTTTTCTCTCTTAATTTTTCATTAATTTACTCAAACACTCCACACCAACTACCTGGCAGTACCTGATCCGAGAACCGCTCCACTCTTTACACAACATGTGGTTATGGAGGTCATGGAGAAAAGCGGTCTGTTAGGTAAGGGACATCATCTATTTACTGACAATTTTTACACTAAAATTCCCCTTGCTGAAGAGCTCCTCAGAAGAAATACATTCCTTACAGGAACAATCAATAAGAAATCCAAACATTTGTGTAATGAAGTAAAGAGAGCAAAGCTGGGAGAAAGAGAAAGTATTTACTACAGAAGAGAGATGTTTGGTTGGTCGGATTTAGACAAAAGTAGAAAACCTGTTCTACTTGTAACTTCAGCCTACCACGCAGAGGACAGAGTTGTGAGAAGTAAGAAGGGTCTTTTGGGTAGGAAACCACTCCTTATCCATAAGTACAATCAATCGATGGGAGGGGTCGACGTTAGCGATAAATCAGTCTATCATTATCGTGCAACCGACCGACATCCAAATATTGGAAGAACATTTTTTTCAATTTGATTGATATTTGCATGTTCAATGCATACACTTTGTACAAACTGAACACTGACATGCCAATGAACAGGAGGGAACCTGCACTTGGGCCTGTGGCGACGGAGCGCACCGCATTGAACACTTACCTGGAAACTCTCAAAGAAAGTGTGTTGTATGCAACATGCCTACAAATAAAGGCAGATCAAGGTACTGGGGTCCAGGGTGCAATGCTGGGGTCCACAAAGAGTGTTACCACCACAGACTCGAACACTACTGGAGAATTCCGAAGGGAGCCAAGAGGAAGCTTGCGCAAGACTCCAATTCCGACTCTGACTAAATGAATGGGACCTCCGTGTATATAGTGTTGTGTATATAGTGTATAAAATATAACTTAGTTCCCCTTATTTTTTACAAATGGACTAGCCTACCTCAAATGTGTTTTCAAGTTGAATTGGGACTTTTTATTGATTTCGACATTTATAAGATGATTTTTTTTTTAAGAAAATTTGGTGTTTTGAAGGAAACGAATTGTCCAAATACCCCCGCCGCAGCAAACCTGCAGACTAAGCGAATTTCCATTTGCCTGATTGGATTTACACTAAAATGTCTCCTTAAAAATATCACATTTATTCCCTATTTAAATTGAATCAGTTTAACACATACTTAGGTTTGCTGCAACAGGGAGGGTTAAAGTGTTTTTTTATGTAAAATGTTAATTGTTAGTAAGAAATAAAAACATTTTTCAAATTTGGGCAAAATATGTTAATAAATAAGCAAACTACAACAGTTTACTTATCCTCCATAAGAATAACATAGGAATTTTAAATTTACAATTTTTTTGAATTTTCTCCGTAACCATTAGGCGCATTATAACACTTCAATATACTAAAATATTTGTTTTTTATGCTCTAAAAAACAGTTTGGAAAGAAATTGCAAAAATTTAAGTTTTTTGGGTCAAAAATGGGAAAAACCCATTTTTACCCCATAAAAGCCCCCATAAACCCCCGTTCCCATGGTCCGATCATGCTGGTTCGCGAACTCGTTCGAATAAACGTAGGTTTACACGTTTGTACCAAATTTCATCAAAATCGGATCATTTTTGCTCGAGTTATCGCGCTAACGGACACACATATATATATATAAATATATATATATGAATTTGAACGGATGATATTTTTGGCCTCTAGGGACCTCAAAACGAAAAAAAAATCGGTCCCGGGTCCAGGTCTTACCATGAGTACTACGGTAATAGCTTATTCCCTATATGGGAAATTCGCTAAAACTTTGTAAGTAATTTGCTTGCATGTTTTCTTGCATGTTTCTTGTAGATACTGTTATTCTGAACAAATGTATAACATTATAATAGTTTGCATGAGTTCTTTCTAACATGTTTAAGCAATTTTATGTGAAAATTTGCATGATAGCAAATAATTACCATGAATCTGCACATGGGTTTTCATCGTATATTTGTATGTTAGGATTATTATTTTTTATTTTTAATCCATAAAAGTGTATAATATTCTTGTTCCTTATAAAATTCACTACAAATTGGCTATCTCAGTTTTTTTATAAACTGAAATTTGTATATTTTGATGAATGCAAACTTTAGGTGTGGGGGAAAAATAAAACATAAATGTTTCCATGGCAACATTTATAATTTTTTTTTAATAATATACTATATTGTTTTCTTGTAGACAATTTTATGCTGAGTAAAATATGTTATGGTTTGCATAAGTCTTATGATTTTTATATTTTTTTTTTAATAAAGAGTGCAAAAACGCCAAAAACGGCTTAGTACCAAGGCATAAAATGCTTAGTCCTCATCATAAAATCCATTTTAATTCAAACTCTAAGCAAAAACAATCAACTGTAAACAATAGACATGTGATTTGATACATTAAACAACATTAATAACACATATGATTTTAGACAGTAGGCCTATCTATCAGATAGGTTTTTTATTTACAAGAAACACATTAAATGCTAACTATCATCGCCAGATGACTGAAGGCTAAAAATTGTCGTAATGCAATGCATGAGGGTAAAGTTCGGAAATGGGTTATTGAGTGTAAAAATAGCCGTGAAATCCTTTTTCCTTGTTGTGATCTTCTGTGAGAAGTCTGGGAACCCACCAAAATCAAAATTCCTACTGAAATGAACATTTTTATGACCATTTTAAAATTTACTAGCCTATTTCTGCACTTCCTCTTGCATCAGGCTCATAAACTTCAGTCATTCTGGTGATGAATGTCAGCATCGGATATGTTTCTTGTGGCAAAAGATGTAACACTGACCTTATCTCGCACACAACGGGATATTCGATAGTTAAAAAACTTAAACAACACAGCGAAGCGTACGGTACATGTCAATGCGGCGTGCAAGAGAACTACGGATCTATACACAAAACGGCAATTATAAAACCGCCCTCATACTTTAACCTAATATTTATTTTACAAAGCATATAAATTGTATAATGAGATTTGGATTTAAATATCAGTGGTTTTTGGTAATATAATTATGCATGTAACTCTCAATGGAACGTTAGGACACTCATAGAACTGTGTTGATTGCTGATTGAACTCAACTTTATATATTAATTAACTAAAAATGTTTTTCATAATATGTTGGTGCAGACAAGCCTTGTATGGTTTTTGCACCTATTGTATAATATGCATGTATTCATTATACTTCAATAAATAAATTGATTGATTGATTGATTAATGGTATAAAATCTTATTAATTGGCCTTGCCAAATGATACCAAGGTAAGTTTATTGAGCGCCCGCTTTGAAAATTATGTTGCCAGGACTGTATTGAATTAGTATCGCAATAAATAAAATAACCTCGATAAGAGTCTACAGTAGACCCCTTCTTAAGTGATCCTAACGGGATCAGACCTAGGTTTTGATAACTCAAAAGGTCAGTTAAAAAAGGCAAACCCTAAAAATCTTCACAAACAAAGTGCCATTTATTTGGAATTATATAATCATTATTCTGAAGTCATGTGGGAATTATTCACAAAATAAGCTACTTTTTCCCTGGTACAGTTTCGGATTTAGAATAGGACCGCAACCTTCTCGGGCTTATTGTAGGAGGCGACTAAAAGGGTGACTGATGTTCTCACTGGGAGTCCCTGGGAGTGCCCCTGTTGTGTTGCAGGGGTTGATGTGTGCTCTGCATTGCCGATGGGTATTCTCAGTGGGTCGTGAGGAGCCAGCCACTTCGGTCCTTAGTCAGGAAGTGCGGCATGGATGTAGAGGTCGGGGCTCGGCATTGCCACAGCCGACCCCAGCACGTCAGGTAACCGGTGCTGGGCAAACAGAGGTCGCCCCCGGGGAACTGGGGTATGGGATTGTCCCCAAGTGTATACCCGTTCCTGACTGTTTCTGGGCCATCTCTCACCGCATGATGCACTGGTAAACACATACATGGCTTGTCAAAACTCACCCCCCCCCCCCCCCCCCCCCAACACATTACTTAGGAGCAGCTCGAATGAGCAAAAAACGAGGTCGGTAATGGAGCAAAACCTTTTTAGGCGTAGCTCCAAGGTCTAGAGGTTGCTACCAGCTAAACACTTAAAGACATCTCCACTGCCTGCAACCTTCAAGTGCTCAAAGGAGTTTGCCCCCTCCCCTAGGATCTCCTTTGACAAGTGGAGAAGTTAATCGAGACAGGAATAAAGACATTTAACAGACGTTGCCGGCAACCCTCCTCCCGGAAAGCACTGCACACATGGAAAATACTAGACACAGTATAGCACTCATGGTCGTAGACTCTGCTGAGCATGCAACAAAGAAGAAATTTAAAAAGAGTGGCAAGTAATCTAAAAGTAACCTCCGATCAATGGTCGATAAACAATTTGGATATGACCAACCAATATTTACCCCCGGCACTAGGTATCAATCTAAGCCCGCCAACTGTTCTGCCTTATGCCAGCATATGCACACTTGCCTCTTTTGCTAATGTTTATATTTTTGTTTGGTTTTTCCCTTGCGCAACGGACTGTATACTTACATTACGGGATGGGTTTATAATAGTTCAGTTACCCTCTAAAAATATTCCACTGTCTCAGGACACCACATTTTAAATGAAAATTGCATGTTCTGTAAATTTTTTTCTATATAATAGTCTCCGCTATTTAGTGAAAAAAAAAATCTTATAATTTTTTAGATTTTGATTTTTTAGCCTAACATTTTGTGTTTAGATGTTTTTTTTTTACCTAAAAATGGTTTGTAATGAGAGAGATGTTTTCAGGCAAGCAGAGCTCAGATTTTAAAAAAAGCTGCAGATTATATTCAGTTTATGAGGAGGAAAAATTCTGCTCACCAACAGGATATTGATGATCTAAAAAGACAAAATATGTTGCTAGAAGCTCAAAGTAAGTAATTATTGTTAACTAAATATTATTAATTAAACTTGTATGTTTAAGCCTTATTAACCTAATTCCTCTGATTGGAACAAAACCAGGCCAATACAGTACTGTTTCTATACATTTACTCCATTTAATTTGTTTTAGCGAATTTCCCATATAGGGGATAAGCTATTACCGTTCGTAGTACTCATGGTAAGACCTGGACCCGGGACCGATTTAATTTTTCATTTTGAGGTCCCTAGAGGCCAAAAATACCATCCGTTCAAATTCATATATATATATATATATAAAAATCAAAAACATAGTTAACAAAGTACCCTTTTAACATATATATATATCAATTATCAATTATTATCAATTAGTTAAGATGGGGACGCCTCTATGTGCGTATTTTAACTATATATATATGTGTGTCCGTTAGCGCGATAACTAGAGCAAAAATGATCCGATTTTGATAAAATTTTGTACAAACGTGTAAACCTAGGTTTATTTGAACGAGTTCGTGATCCAGTATAATCGGACCATGGGAATGGGGTTTTCCCATTTTTGACACTAAAAACAAAAAATTTTGAAATTTTTTTTAACCGTTTTGTAGAGATTAAAAAAAGAAATAATTTAGTATATTGAAGCGCTGTTGTATGCCTAACGGTCACGGAGAAAATTCAAAAATAGTGTAATTTAAAATTCCCATGTTATTCTTGTGGAGAAAATGAAAATTGTTCAGGGTGTCTAGTAGTCGGGAAAGTCGGGAATTAGTATTGAATTTCAAAATGGTCTTGAAAAGTCGGGATTTAGTCTTAAATTTGATTTCAAAGTCGGGAATTATCATGATTTTGCCGCGACCGTCGTCTTGCGTTTACGTAACCGCGAAAGCCAACGATGATGATGTCTACACGGCCTCGGGAAATGTTCACGATTTTGCCACGATAGTGGACGACGACGATGACGTTTCCGAAACCGCAGGAGACGACGATGACCTTTCCGTGACCGCTGGGGACGACGATAACGTTACCGTGACCGCGGGAAACGACGATGACGTTTCCGTGGCCCCGGGAGACGACGATAACATTTCCGTGACCGCGGGAGATGACGTTGATGTTTACACGGGCGAGGGAAATGTTCTCATGATTTTGCCACGATCGCGGAGGACGACAATAACGTTTCTGTGACCGCGGGAGATGACGGTGATGTCTAAACAGCCGCGGTAAATGTTCATGATTTTGCCGCGTTCCCGGACGACGACAATGACGTTTCCGTGACCGCGGGAGACAACGATGATGTCTACACGGCCGCGGGAAATGTTCATGATTTTGCCGTGATTGCGAACGTCGACGATAACGTTTCCGTGACCGCGGGAGATGACGGTGATGTCTAAACAGCCGCGGGAAATGTTCAGGATTTTGCTGCGCGGACGACGACGATCATGTTTCTGTAACCGCTGCAGTCAATAATGATGTCTAAACGTATGGTAGGCGGAAGATTTCATGATAAAAAACAACCAAATTTGCTAGTTAGAATTTTTTATTGCTGCATTATTTCTTTACTTGAAAACTCCCCATTTTTCATAATACTACTTTATGACAAAGACAGGGGTTGGTGTAGTATTATTTAGAAAATTTGGTTAAGCTATAAACATTGGTATCGGTATCAAGAATCAAGAATCGATACATTTTGTTATCAACGCCTACTAATTGTTGAAAAAACTAGTCTTGAAAAATCTGGAATTAGTTTTGAAAAGTCTGGAATTAGTTTTGAATCTTATAATGGAAATAAACTAGACACCCTGATTGTTGTAGTTTACTTGTTTATGGATATATTTTGATAAAATTTGGCAAATTTATTTATTTCATCCTATACTATTGACGTATGGTCAAAAACACTTTTTACCTCCCCCTTAGCAGCAAACCTAAGTACTCGTTAAATCTACCCTAATGTTATTTAAATAGGGAATAAATATGTCTCTATTATCGAAATATTTTAGTAAAAATGTAATCAGACAAGTTGAAATTGGCTTAGTCTGCAGGTTTGCTGCGGCGGTGGTATTATATTTTTTTGCCACACTTCACTGTTTTAATAGACTTTCCACAAAAAGACTTAGTCCGAAAAACAGCTTTTTGCCGCCTGCTTAGTCAAATTAGATATCATTACCTACTACTCTACTGTAATGACTTTTTACCGGACACCAGTTGATTGTATGAGTAGTGATTATTAAGTCCTTGATTTGGAGTATATGACCAATTTGTACTTTTTTTTACTTTCTCCCCCCACCCAAAGTAGGCCTATGTGGAGGAAAGTATTGTTTTTATCTAAATCGTTGAGTTTGAGTGGATATATCCGAAATCCATTTTGGGTCCCCCTGAACCCCAAAAAGTGGGTTTCAAAGTGATGTCTGTCTGTATGTGTGGATGTGTACAGAGCTACAGACCACACCTGTTGTCCGATTTTGGTATGTAGGTACTAACTCATGATATCTCCAGGCTTTTTTTCCATTTTTTTTTATGTTGATTTTTAATGGTGATTTTCAAATAAAACCCCATAAATTGGCACATCACAGAACCTTTTCACAACCCCACAGAAAATTAAATTTTCTCGAAAACTGCCTGAAAGATTTTGATAAAATTTAGTTTGTTATATATAGCCCTTTAAATTCCGAACAAAATGGTATAACTCCCATTGCTGTAAAATTGCGGTTTAAAAGTTATTGTACTTATGTTTTTTTCCCATACAATTAAAAAAAAAACAGAAAAATAGATTTTAAAAAGCCGGTTTTGATTGAAGTTTGTCTGTTGTGGTACTTATAATTTTTAACAAAACAGTGCATCTCCCCATTGCTGTAAAAATTACAGTGCAAAAAGCTTTTGTAACTTTTGTGATTTTCCCTATAAAATATCATAGTTACTCCCATCACTTGGTTGTTGATAAGCGAATGGGAGGAAGTATGTGTCAGATTGCTGATACTGTTTATTTGTTGTTAGGTTAGCTTATAGTAGTATGTTGAAAATATTCTCTGGTAAACACTAATAAGTAACGGAACATTACACAGTCCAATTTTGTTATTTTATACTATATAATTATTGCTGAATTAGCAGACATTCTTATGTATTCTCCACTTAACTCATAATGCTTCATCACTAGTATCAGTTGTAGTTAAAAACTATTATGTACATAGCTCCTGAGCTTTGTCAGCAGTTTAATTTTTTGACGGACTTTTGCTACAGGGATGTAGTCTATAACAGTTATTATTTTTTACCCTCGTGGCGAGCCTAGATCTGATACTGTTGTACTGTTTGGTTTCATCAGGGTCTTTGAAAGCCAAAGTTTGTATTAAATTCATTTTATATATATATTTATATACTTATTCCTATTTTATAAATATAGATACATATTGTTTGTCTTTAGACTCAATTACTCCCATATCCGATTTTGTTCAAATTGATATCTTTAATGGAAAACATTGAATTGAATAGGCCAGCAAACCAGTCTTAATACAACCATCACATGGGGTTTCGTACCCCAAAAAGTGTGTATAGCTCTTTGTGGGAGATATTCAAAGTACTTAAAGAAAGATTTTCCAATCTTTACCAAATCATTTACGTTATGAAATATTATCAAATCAACACTTTTATCTCTAAAAAGGTTGAAACTAGATACATGTGTTTTTTTTTACCTTAACTTGACCATTTTTAAGTTTCATTAGCATCTCCTAAACATCATGGGAGCCGTTTGGAAAGTAACCTTCAAAAAGTAATAAAAAAAAAAAAACCAAAGTAGCCAAAATAAAACAGTTTATTGTATTATTATATGTTAGAAAATGTTCTTTGCCTAATTTTTCCACACTCATCCAAGGGCTCATTGTATATCTTTACTTGTTTTTAAATTCCATTTTCATAAAAATCTGCCTCCTATGCCAGTCGGTACCATCATCAGAGGGATCCAGCAACTTCTTCATATACTCGATGAATCCAAAGACTGGTACAGGTGTTGGAATATGTCTTCAGACCTTGACTGACTTGTTGCACCAGATTGTGGCCCCTCTACCCTTACTACTAGTCCACACTGGACACGGATTACTTTCCAAACAGCCCTCGTATATCTATTTTTGTGTGGGAATCAGTTTTACAGTTGTCAAATAATGTTCTTAAACCTATATAATTTATTCAAACTATTTTGCAGTCCGAACTTTGGAAAAAACTAAAGCAACGGGAAACTACGCTGCAGATCAAAGTGAACTGGTTATGGACAATGGTTACGGACATCATGATTCAGAATCAGACACATCGGACTCAGATTCTACCAGATCCTCTCGAAAAACAAAAAAACTCAAAGTGTCCGGGATGTGTTAGTTGGCTGTGTGAATGTGTAATATAGACAACAAATAGTTTTAAGTTATTTTATAAGCGTCGTTATCTAATCTTCTTTGACCATCAACAATAGAATAATGGATGTTTCTAAGTTTTATAATTCGTCTTGTCGAATCTATGTTGTGCAAAACTTTTTGTTACAACTCAATGTTCTGCTTCGTGGATGTGAATGCTCTAAAGTGATAAATGGTAACCTTTTGTTGAGTTACAAAGAAGATTATGTATTGCTACAGGTTAGCAATTTGTCTAAAAAAAAACAAAAAAACACTATACTTACAATTATTAAGATACCTTATACAAATATTTTTTTTTTAGTTTGTAAGGATTTTGAAAACATTATTTAAATTGGTTTGATCTTATTATTACTTTTGTTTTACTCTAATGGTAAGCAGTTTTGCTTAGTTTGTTATTAACCTGACTGTATTAGTTATGAAATGTAGTTCATTTGGTAAAATGAACACAAATATTGTCAAGGAGCATTAAATCAGCAATTTGTAATATAATATATGAAATGAACACATTTATGTAAAAAAATTAACTGCACATATGAACAATGTAACTCTGTGAATAAAGGTTATTTGATTTAAAATCACAAATAAAAGCTTAACTGTCATTCAAAATTGAGTATAAGCCTAGCTCTGTAACTAGGCCTATTCTGCTATTCCCTATCTTATAATTCTTAGTGGTGTGCGATGCATCAAAATTTTGATTCAATTTGATGCATTAAACTGCAGTTCAATTCAGCATGCATCAAAATACCGATGCGTTGATTTTATCCCGATGCATCGGAAAAACCGCAGTGTCCATAAAATCAGTAATGTCCATCAGCAGGAGGTTAGGTCAGCAACTACCCTCTTGTTCACAAAAATTCCATTTAGTACATATTTTTATATTTTTTTATGGTAAATAATTCATCCATGATGATAACAGTAACGCAAGTTGTAAATAATTTTGGAAGAAATTCAGGACATGCAGCATCAAAACAAATTGATTCAAATTGAAATTCTTTTAATCGCATCGAATTGAAAAAAAAAATGCTGCATCGTACACCCTTAAAAAATCTACACAATAATGACCACATACATATATGAGCACTGTCAATATCTGGCTGATTAAAAATGTTTGATAAATTCAAATAGCATTGTAGTTTGTACACACTCATGCCTTTTTGTGTCACTAGGCGCATGACTTAATGGCAAGTAACACATGTGCAAATTGCATGCCCAAATCATATTGCGAGGAGGTTGATTCCTTATTGCACGGTGTTGTGCATGATGATCCTTGAGGTACTTCGTATTGGAAACACATTTTATTGGTTTTAAAATTCAAACTTCATAAAAAATAATTTAACCCATTGACAACGACTTATGAGTGTGGCTCGTCACAGCATTTTGCTGTGAGATAGTCATACTGATAACTCTCAGGCGCTCAAGTAGTACATCAAATCATAGACAAATAGAATAAATATAGACTGTCAAAGGAAGCTTCCGGCGCCCACCGCTAGTAGTGCCGTGTAGTGACGGCACACACCGCTGCAGGCAAGGAGCGCAGAAGCCGTATGCTACCAGCAGACGCTGCAGCGGTGTGCGCCGTAACTACACGACACTCCTAGCGGTGGGCGCTGGAACATAAAATGCTAACCGCATCACTGCTGCTGGTCTATATTCATTCTGTTTGTCTATGATCAAATCTAACCTACGGGTGTTAGGCCTTGTGTCTTTTTGAGCTTATAGTCCCAATGAACAAGTTCGGCTGACGGTGGCATGGTAGCTAGTTGGCTAAGGTGTTGCACTGACGAGTGTAGCGTTGAGGTCTTTCTACATGCGCAGGGTCGAATCCTGTACCTCTGCAATTCATATTGAGCTTATTAATCGGCTTAGCTGGAGTGGAGGGTCAACATTAAATAAACGGTGCCCGGCTTAGGTGGAAGTTGACAGCATTAATGCACACAAAATCTGTTTTGCTTTTTAAAGATTATAGAGGAGGACGCAGATTTTTATTTTTTGGTTGTTATTTTGCTTTAGGGTGTCCACATTCTGGAAAGTCAGGGATAGTCATGGAAAAAAATTCAGGTCATTGGAAGAGGCAAAAAGTCATAGAAAGTCATGGCATTCCTTCCTATATATCTATATCTATAAAAGAGAAACTATGTATTTATGTATGTATATACGCAATGAACTACGAAACCGCTCGACAGATTGTAATGAAACTTTCAGGCATTATTAAGCATCTTTCAAGGATGGTTCGAGTGAAGCTTGGTGCAGATCTGCCAAAAGAGCTCTGCCCCAGAGGGTTTTAAGTGGGCCAATGTCAGACTTTTTGATCTACAATGTTTACAAATAAATATAATTTAAAAGCAGATGTTTTCTTTCACCAACTGTTTTGTAGGTTTGAATAATTACAACATTCTGTATTAGCATTAGTCATGATTTGAAATAGTGCCACAGTGTTTCTACAGAGTGCAGCACAGAAAACTATTTTACTTTTGAATAAGTCCAAATGTGTTAACACGTTCACTGCGCTACGAGATCCCGAGGTCTCGTATCGTACCTAGCCCGTAGTGCGGGACCCATAATTTGGCTTCTTTCCAAAAATTACGACATCGATATTTCGGCGTACAGTTATCGTAAAGAAATGAAACTTGTACATATATAATGCATTTTTCTTGATGTATCAACTAGTAACTATGAAATGAACGAGATAAATAGATCTCGTAACGCACTGAAGTAATAAACTTTTACTTTATTACGATACGAGACCCCAAGCACTACATGAGGCTAATGGGGTGATTAGTAACCATGGTAACCTTTGTTGAATGCTTGGATGAAAGAAGGAAACCAAATAAATAATTCAAGAACAAAGAGAAAGAATAATGGCGTTTTTATACTGTTATTAGCACTAACGGATGCGTAATAAAGGTTACTGGTAAATTACCTAAAATATCACGATTGTGCAATGTTGTACAGTAGAACCTCAGTAATCCGACCTCTGATGGTCCGACTCCTCGCTTGGTCCGACCGTGCCGTCAACACAATAGGCTTCCGCTAACATAACCTCATTGTCCAAGATAAATATCCAGAAAACTTTATAAATTGTGTTTATTTTAGTCTAATGTGTTGAAATTTGTTATATATTTAACCATGTCTGCCCATTATTAATATTAAGTAGGCTCCCACATTATTGTTTTTTGAAAATCACAGTTCATTTGACAAAAATTAAATGGAAGCAAAACAAAGGAATGCCGATCAAAGCTTCAAGGTCAAGCTATCCGTTTGCACTGACAATCGTCTGCTCAGGCCTACACACGACACATCCGTCTGCTGTGCGCTTGCTATGTCACAACATTTTGTGATTGGGTATTTGGTAATCATGACAGCTTTAGTAGCCTGTGATTGGGTGATTAGTAACCATGGCAACTTGTTGAATGGATGGATGAAGAGAAACTTAACAAAGAATAGAAGAACAAAGAGAAAGAATAAGCGATGTTTTTATGTCATTGTTATTTTTATTTGTGTATTTTACGACTGTTGTTATGCTATAAGTAGGCTACTGTTATTTCATACTTTTTTATGCGTTATCTAATGTTTTTGTCGACATTTTCTGTCCTGAAACAGCGTAGCAGTAGCCTACTAGACTTTCTAATGTTCTGTTCTTTATTTTGCTGTACAATGTTTGGCAATTTGTTTGTTAGAGTAAAAGTTTGAAAAAGCTGTCATTTTAAAAGTTACAGTTTTTATTACTGAACCAAGTTTAATGACATAACATAATTATCATGATTGCGCAATAGCCCACTAATTGTATTTTTATGATGTAATATGCAAATTATTACATTAACATCCATTTAGTTTATGAGTTGGAAATAACTGTTTCATGTCATGTTGGATTAACCGTGGTTATCATTTATCACTGGTCTGTTCAAAATACAGTTATACTACGTTTTTATGTCAATAAACGCGTTCCTCTGATAATCCGACCTTTTTGCTGTTCCGACCATGCTCCCGGTCCCATAGGTGACGGATTAGCGAGGTTCTACTGTATTTTGATGTAAACAAGCAAATCATTTACATTAATTCGAATGTTTCTCCTGGTCCCTACTAAATCATACAAAAACCGGACAAGAAATTTCCGATAAACAACTTTGTATCATTAGTTTTTGTTTTGCGATTGGGATCCCTTTCCCAGCCCTTTAGGGAAGTGGTGCAAGTCTAAATATAGCTTCAAGGTTGCACCCATCCCTTCCCCCCGCCCACTCGACCCACTGTTGGCACGCACTCATTTCGAGGTCATAGCCCAACCCCAAAATTATAACGAAATAAATACAGTAATTTGTAAACATATTTCATTTGTATTTTATTTAGCCTGAAATCAGCCGTAAGGAAACGCATTAATATAAAAAGTGATAAAAGAAAGATAAAATATATTTTTTATAACGATTACGATTATAAGGAATTCGTAAATAAACAGGTAACATATATTTTTCTTTATTTGTTATTGTAGGAAAAGAATAAATACAAATAAATAATGAACTATTACAGCTGTGCGGTACGAGATCTCGGGGTCTCGTACAATGACGTCATATTTACTTCCTGGGCTGGCTGAAGATTGTCAACATTGTACTGGTTCAGATAAACAAACACTCAGCGCTCTCTTGCCTTTCTTTACGAGGTTATGATGCGCAAAAGATTACTGCGCAACGTAATCTCGGGGTCTCGTATCGCACCTGGGTAATCATAGCGGACGAGACCTATAGATCTCGTAACGCACCATTGGAATAATGGTGGAAAATATGTAACGCAGTGAACGTGTTAAACCCCAATCGCAGCACACCTGTGCACTTAACAACGTTTAAATTCTTCAATGTTAAATATTAAAACATAAAAACCTTTATCAAAGTATTATAAACAATAAAAGGGATGACTTTTTAAAATTTATGACAACAGCTAATTTGCAACCAAAAGGTGAGTGAGCATAGCGAACGAACATCAACCTGGAGGCGAGTTAGCGTAGCGAACAAGCTAACCTGAAAACAAGTGAGCGCAGCGAATGAGCTCCAACCTAAGGTGAGTGAGCGTAGCGAACGAACTCCAACCGGGACGTGATCGAGCCATGCGAATACTTATGAAGTTAAACGGGGCAAAGCCCGTGGGTACAGCTAGTATAATTTAAAAGCAGATGTAGGTTTGAATAATCAGTCACAACATTCTGTATTAGTCATGATTTGAAATAGTGCCACAATTTTTCCACAGAGTGCAGCACAGAAAACTAATTTACTTTTGAATAAGTCCAAATATATTAAACCCCAGCACACCTGTGCACTCAACAACGTTTAAATTCTCCAATTTTAAATATGTAAACATAAAAACCTTTATCAAAGCATTATAAACAATAAAAGGGATGGCAATGCCTTAATATTTTTATCTTTTGTTCTATGCCCACACAATCTAACAAACATTATTAAGAGAATATAATCGTGTGTGCTATCTCGGGTATTCAAATGCTTCTCAATTTGTCATTAACCCACCACATTACTGTCATTAAAAGAAGGAACTCCAATAATACTAATGTGAAACTTAATTCCACCGAAGCTGTGCAACGTTACTAGCCTGACGATTAAAGAAATTACACCAAAATTGATTGAAGCAAAAATTATATCAGTGGTAAGTTTAAAGGAGAAATAGTCTTAATCCCAAGAATACTGATGACTTTATCCGAATTACCCTCTGAATTTAAGAAACTACAATTTCCTTTGTGTCTCGCTTTCGCAATCACCATTATAAGACACTAGAGCAATCCCTGACTATCGTCGGTTTAAATTTAGAAAATGCATGCTTTTCACACGGACAGCTGTATGTTGCGTGCTCACGTGGTGGTAGGTACGCGTGAAAACTTATATATTTATACACCTAATGAAAAAACAATACAGTAGAACCCCTCATATCTGGCCACCACGGGACCAAGCCCCTGGCCGGATAGCGATTTGGCCGGATAAACCAACCTACTATGAAAATGAAAATGATTCATACCTATAGTAATATTTAATCAATACATGCTGTCAAAAGTATCATTTAAGTCTATTCTAGGATAATTTTTGAAGAATTAACATGTTTGTACAAATAAAAAAAAATTATTTGTAGGCTAAAGTTGTTAAGGAATGAACGTACGAGTATTAAGATTTCAGGTAACAAAAACTATTAAATGATGGAGGTAAAAGTTACATTAAATCAGCCTTGAAGATTTTTAGGACCTTAATAGTAAATACAATTCTACTCAACTTTCTTATCCATTTTGTGAAATAAATACAAAGATTAATTTCCCAACCCCCCACTGTTTAGAGGTTAGGCCTAGTTCAACTGAGTTTAGTGACACAGTAAAATGTATTGAAACAAACAGATAAATAGTTCAGATAAATAGTTTAGCTCAAACAAGTCGCAAAGACTAGTGCTTGCATCTAAACGTCTGTAAGCTTTGAGAAAAACATTTTGATATTGACTTCCTGGAAGTATGGCCGGATAAACAGAGGACCGGAAAAACCAAGGCCGGATATCAGGGGTTCTACTGTAGTTATTTTCCTACAGTTGCCTAACAATGTACATGTCTCACTGATTTGAGAAAGCAAAGTGGCCAATTCGCTCATCAGTGAGACAATGTTAACATTGTCTCACTCTAATTACTTTGTCTCACTCCAAATTTGCAACGTGAAAGCATGAAATAGTGAGCGCGCAACATGCAGACAAGGTCGTATGCACGCGAAATACGTTGGCAGCACTGGCTGTAAATCAGCTGTTGTTCTGTTGTATCATTAAATGTCATATTAAAAGTTCACTTCTGTGTAAAAATATGTTACGTTTCTTTACCAATTTATTTGTTTTATGGTAACTAGGAAAAATATTTAATGTGCAACTCGAGTGCAAAGTGCAATTGCCTCACTCGAGAGAAATCCTCATAAAAAAGTTTGCGCGACACATAAAAAAACCCTTGCCACTTAAGCATAAAAAGACCACCAGCTCGAGGGTTAATAAACTCTACCCGGTCTCCATTGCATCCTGCCCACTATTCCCTTCCACTAATACCCCTCCCCTAAATCCAGTGGCGTAACAAGAACATGGCTTTGAGGGAAGATAATTGAGCTTAACATCTGCCCTATTGGGAGGGGGGGGTCTGGGTGCAATACCCCCCAGCAAAGAGGGGGATCCGAGGGGAAAATTTGGAAAAATTAGAACTCCAAACTCACGTTTTCAGGCATTCGTAATCACGTTCAAAGAACTCAAAATATCAAACCAATTGAGGCTGTCTCTGGCTGGTCAGCAGATTCAGGAAATAATAACAATAATAATAATAATAATAATAATAATAGGTAATAATAATAGGTTAATAGGTAATAATAATAATAGGGTGGTCTTGAATAAGAAGTACCACTATAGGTAAACAAACGTGATAGTTTTTTAGCGGCCGTCTGCTTGATTCGCAACTCATTACAGTTTCTCCAAGTTTTAGACTTGGCTGACACACCCTCCCGACTGCCCTGACACCCTACCAGATAATAACACACAATACACAACATTTTACTTAATAACATCAATGTATTTCAGAATGACATGGCTCATTTATTATTTTTGTTACAAGTCTACTAAGTGCCAAGTGAACTAGAACTAACCTAAAAGCCGTCTGGCGTCTGCTTAGTGCTTAGCGCATGCCTGCAGTGTTACCACTACCACTCTCCAAATTTACTCCCACTGCCTTGGTGTATTCATTAAATAAACCTTTTGAAATTAGTTTACTATACAAATCAACTAATAAACCAAATCATCAGTTTCAGTTATAAACTTCATGCAACTGTATTTTAAAGAAGTAGGATTGCTGCGATAGAAATATTTTTTTAAATTTTTTAGGGTTCCATGGTTACGCCACTGCCTGAATCACTCTTACGCTCTGGGGAGTCAAACGGAACTAGGGCCTATCTGACAGTTATGACAGTTTATAACCCCCATGGCAAAGAATAGAACAGCACAGCCCGTTTCCCATTGTTGTCACATGTTTAGATTGTGGAAACTGAAGTATTAGTTTATTCTAAGCTATTATCCATTTTTCTTCAAGTAATTAGGTATTTATTATGAATCTTACACCTTTCATAAATTATGTGTTTTGGGGGTTGAATGACATTAGCATAATCATTAACAATCATTTATTAAACAAATTTGTTAATATTTTTAAGTACAGAAAATTATCATAGAGGAACAGGTAACTGCTGAAAAAAGTCTTGAGCACGCTGAACTCTGGTTAAACCAATATTATAAAGTGGATGGACTGGCTCCTGGAACATTACACAACAATAATTAGGAATCAAGAGGAGTGTGATCAAATTGAAGTCCTTAAAAGTTACTTTAGAACCTTAAGGGATTTTAAGACTGGAAAATTTCCCTGCGCATATAGAAACATCTTTAAGACTGTTTAATATTTCATTTATATCTATTTTTACTACCATATGTTTTTATACTGTTTTTGTTTTGTAAACATTCATGAAATAGAATTTGTGTTGAGTAAATATGTGTGTTTCTATTAATTATTTTATAATTAATGAGAGTCATTTTAATTGGCGGCGAGTGTGAAAATCAACTAGCCACTGTAAAATTCAACACATTTACTTTTCAAAATAACATTTAATTTCTAGTTTCAAGATATACTAATATTTTATACAGTTCAAACTATAATGGATGCACAACAGTTTAACTTACTTCTAAACACATTCAATGAACAACAAAAAGCACTTGTACGTGAGATGTCAAACATGTTTCAAGCTCAAATTCAAACAATTGTTAGAGAAGAATGCTCTCAATCTACAATGTCAAATGTTGCTACATTCGAAAACTTCAATGCCAAACAAGAAAGGTTTACCAGCTATTTTGAACGTTTCGAAAACTAATATACAATGAAAGGTTTGACTGACAAGTTGCTCAGTTCTTGTGTAATTCTATAGGTAGTGAACATTATAAAAACCTATCTGCATTTTTGGGTCCAGACAAGCCACTCAAATCATTAGATTATGAAACTCTGTTGAATAATTTCAAGAAACTATTGACTCCAAAGAAAAGTGTTGTTGTTGCTCAACATTATTTCTTAAATATCTTTCAAAAAGAAAACCAGTCAATTTCAGAGTTTGTGGCCGACCTCAGACGTGATCTTCAAGAATGTGAATTTGCAGTTGAATGCTCCAACAACATCAGTGTCAATTGCTGATGTTTTCTTGCGGACACAGTTCAAACGAGGATTGAAGGACAATTGGCTAAGGGAACACATTTTACAATCCATGTGCACAAAGTTTGATGACATTCTAGAGAAAGCTATTGCTCTTGAAGCATCAAAGGTTGAAAGCAAAGAATTTCACCAACATGCATGTTCTAACAACTTTAATGTGGATTCCGCTGGAGTGCACAAAATTACAAGGTCTTCCAGACAATCCCACCAGTTCTCTAACAATCGCTCATGTATCAAGACATATCTCAACTGGAAACAACGTTTAAATAACTAAAGACCTGACTTCAATGCCCTCGGAATAGAAGGCCTCTGTCTTAGATGTGGAAGTAACAAACACATTGCTAAGCACTGTTGCGGAGTGCACAAAATTGATTTGATCTACCAGAACTTTGATGTCGTAGATTTATTTGAAGTTGGATATGATTCAGACAAGTACATTGTTTCTGTCAGTATAAATGGAAGATCACAATGTTTTGAAGTTGACAGTGGGGCTAAATTTTCTCTCCTTGCGAAGAATGACTTTTAACGTATATCTGAACGTACATGTAGAACCATTGAGGCTAGCTTTCCGTTCATACTCTGGAGACATAATCAAACCAGAGGGAAAGGTATCAGTTTCTGTATCATACAGTTCAAAGGTGACCTTCACATCGTCCCTTCAGGTCATGACGCACTTCTAGGGCGCCAATGGATCCGAGGACTAGGTATTGAGCTGTGTGAAATTGACGCTGAAATGAACCAACCAGCTACTACCCTTTAATAACAATGAAAAATTTGCGCCAATTTTCGAGCCAAAAATTGGATGCGTTCCAAACTTTACAGTATCATTACATCTTCGATCAGGAGCAAAGCCTATTTTCAATTGTGAAGGGAACGTACCTCATGCTCTTATTGATCAGGTCAAGAAGGAACTAGATTTACTTGAAAATGAAGGAATCATTTCGCAAAGTTTGAAGGGATTGCCTAAAACCGAGGCCTACTTTGATGACATAATTTGCCATGGTTCAACAATGGATGAGTGCAAAAGAAATCTACAGGCCTGTCTTCAACGACTCTCAGACTTTGACTTACACATAAACAAACAGAAGTGTTCATTTTTTCAAGAACAAATAGAATATCTAGGAAGAGTGGTGGAGTTAAACAAAATAAAGAAATCTCCTACCAAAGTTCAAGCTATTAAAGAAATGTCACGTCCATCAAAAGTTGAAGAATTACGATGATTCTTAGGAATGGTTTCTTACTACTCTCGTTTCTTTCCAGATGCTTCAACTGTCACTTTCCTTTACGACGTTTGTTACGCAAAAATAAGAAATGGGAATGGACACCAGAATGTGAAAAGGCTTTTCAACGAATCAAAACTGAGCTCTGCAGTAAAAGGATACTCTCACCTTTTGATCCAAAACTACCGTTAGTCCTCACTACAGACGCTTCACCTACTGGACTAGCTGTAGTTCTTAGCCACTTAATAGATGGAACTTAGAGACCAATTGCTTACATTACGCCTCACGTTCACTCACTGATGCCGAATGTAACTATAGTCAACTAGACCGGGAAGCATTGGCCATAGTTTTTGGTGTCTCCCACTTCTATTATTATTATTACTTATTTCATTTGGGACTCAATTTCAACTTGTAACAGATAATCAGCCCATATCTAGGATCTTCAGACATGACAAGGCTCTACCACAAATGACTTCAGCTCGTTTACTCAGGTATGCATCATATCTGTCAGTTTTCAATTACAAGTTGGTGTTCAAAAAGGGCATGAAAAATGAAAAAGTGAATTGTCTTTCAAGAGCTTCTCTTACACAGACTCACTTTACTAAAGACAAGAAAATTGGAAAAGAGGTACATCAAATCTGCAGCCAAGCTATTTTTTAAATTTCAAGCCATGAAATCACAGCTGAAAGTATCAAGAATGAGACAGCTAAAGATCCAGTGCTCTCTAAGATTTTGAAAGACCTACTCACCAATTCACTTGATTCTGACTTTGGCCCCGAAAACATCGATGTTATCGGTACCTTGCTACTCGGCTGACATCAGTTACGATCGGATTTGACATTGAATATACTACGCAATAGTTTCTGTCACGGCTATTAAAACAAAACTGTTCATCTTGACACTCCCACATTGTTGTTTCATCTTAGTGTTAATTTCGAGAATGGGTTTTCAATACGGAGTATTTGATTCAGCAAATTTAGGGGTATTGACTATATTATTATTAATGATTTTGAAAATTCATGGTCCAATGACAAAATTCATACATAACTCGCGCAATTTTCATGGTCACCTAAACTCATGTATAATTCAAGCTTTTCAAAGTTTTCATGGCTGGTGGCAACCCTGTACAACTTTATCAAATCCTAAAATCTTGTACCATTGCCAGACATTATTACAGCGTTACCGCCAAAATAGCTTTTAAGAAAATGAAACTCTTAACTGCTTTCTACAACTTACTTATATTAAATTTAATAGGCCTACATCGAAAATCTCACCAGCAAAATCTAACCTCTTTCTCCAGTTAAAATCATCAATCCAACTCGCCAAATTATTCTTCACCAAGACAACCAAAATATCTAAAACGTAAACATGATCCAAACTTTTGGTCAGCTGCAAGTTTACAACTACAAATACAAAGGTTAGTTGTAGTTTTACTTACAAGCAAATTATATGTTGACCCTAAAACAGCGCATCTTCCTGAGGGTAGATTCTGAGCAACTGCAAGGCCACTTAGAGTGTAACATGTGTGGTAAATATCTCGTGCCCTGTAACAAGTAAGTCAAACATGAGGGAAAAATAGTTCTGGAGGAATGGTACATCATGTGGTAGCTGTGGTTCCTAGGGGAGAGTGAACCAATCCGCCAAACTAAATTATTTGAGTTTAATCTTGATCTATTAAACAGTATCCATATAAATTTGTACAGTGTTTACTTATCATGGACATTTTTCAACAATACTGCATTGGATAAAAGCGCAATGTCCTTGAAAACAGTTGTTCTCAGTAGTGCGAAATGTTAGAAAACTTTACAGGATCTGTAAAAGAAGTGATTTATTGGGAATTAGTTTTAACTACTATAGGGCCACAGCTACACATTTTTATAGGGGGGGCAAGTCCTAAAATTGGCCCCCCTTTAACCTTGCAACTGTGGATTTTTTTCTACGAAGTGCCAATAACATATTACAGTTAGTCTTAACCCTAGCAGTGGCCAATGTTAGAAGTGTGTCGTGTGTGTTGTGTTTATAAGAAAGCTGTTTATAAGTACACTCTTATAAGAAAGCTGATTCTCGTCCTTCAGATTATATTTCAACCCTTCATAAATACAATAGGTACTCGACATAAAGACTCCATAATAACATATAAACATAAAAACAAAATTTTTTGAAAAGAAACCTTCCTACATCGGTCAAAGATATTTAAATACAATTCCAAAAGAAATTAAAAAAGAAAGTAATAAAAACAAATTTAAAAAAAGATTAAAAGAATATCTGATTAAAATAGCTCTGTATTCTTTTGAAGATTTTCTCCACCCATCACAGTCATAATGAATAGGTACATAAACACTTTTTCAGTCTCCTGCATAGAGTGGATGAGATTGTCACTTAGGCTAGTTTGAGTTGTTGTACAACCTGACACTATTCAATGTATATATATATATTGTACAAAAGAATGAATAAAGAAGTTTGAATTGAATTGTGTGTGTGCCAACCCATTTTGGCGATTTTGCAGACCTTTTTTTGAAAATTCAACCGTAGAAGTAAACCTAGCCAACCTCATATTCATTTCAGCCTGGCAACAATCACAACGTTCCCGGCCGTGTGCTGGGCTCATACTGACACAATGTTTGGCAGAGGAGCACACTACTGATATAGCAGTAGGCAGGGAGCAGTGCCAGTGCAGCGCTACTGCTATAGCAGTAGGCTGCAGGGGACAAGTTAATAAGGCCTAACTTATTAAAAATAACTCTTTGTCATAGGAAACATGGAAATATCAGTTAGTATATACTATATAGTTCAACTTTGAAAAATATTAAAATTTCAAAGTCTAAAACAACAGTATTACTAGCTAAGTATCAAGTAGGCCTAACAATTTTTAATGCTTGTGTTATTTTTAGAATGATTTTGGAGTGACTTATTTTGGCTATGTAGTATGTTTTCAGTAGTAAAACATGTCTCACACTGCTTACACTAACAAAACTTCTCATCATTTCCTATGTCAAAAAAAATAATAAATAAATAAATAAAACAATTGAAGCAATATTTCAATGTAAAGAATTAATAATTAAATAAAAACACCTTTGCAAATTTTTTTTTCATTTTAAATTTTTTAAATCTCGTCTCGAAAAAATCTTAACCAAAATAGAATCTCGGCTCGTAGAACAAGATTAAAAATTTCCCGAAATTTTGAGACGAGTCCATCCCTATTTGAAAGATATGTGTACGGTAGTTAAATATTTTATAATAAAAATGAAAGAGTATTTATTTTAGGACTAGATCAATTTGCATAACAATTTAAATACCAATAGACCTACGGTACCTCAAATCCTCAAGTTAAAACTAGCATGAGTTTAAACTCAGTTTGGTCACCAGTAAAAAGCAGTATTTACTTCCTATCATAAATCATGAATTTGCTATAATTTACATTTTTCACAATGTACTATAATCCGTAATATCGTGATCATTTCCTAGTGTCACAAAACATCATCATCGTCTTCCACAATGACATTGAAATCCTTAGTAGGCATCTCCAGCGGTAAAAGAAACTTCATCACCATCATATTGTGATAACGACAAAATTCTGAATATCTCCCGCATTCATGGGGTCATCATCTCATCCTCTTCCGCAGTCACGGTAGCGTTATCATCGTCAAAAATCATAAATATCTCCTGCTGTTTGTAGACATTATCATTGTCTTCTAGGGTCACAGAGACATTATCATAGTTTTCCAATAGTACCTGGGGACCGAGCTTTGCTCGGGAAAAATCATTAGTTTACTCTGAAAGCAGTCTCAGTATTGCAGATACAAAAATCCATTCCCAAACTCTACACTGCTCGCCTTTACTTATTCCTTCAGCAATCCCTACGTCGTGGACCTGTTTTTCTCTCTTCCCATTGCATGTTAGGATTGCAGATACATTAATGTAATTGCCACAAACAGTTCCCACACTCTGCACTGCTAGCCTTACTACTTCCTTCACCACTTCCTACGAAGCGGAGCTGTTTTCCTCCCTTCCCATTGCATTTAAAGATTGCAGATACCCTAATCTAATCGTCATAAACAAAACAGTTCCCCACTCCGGACTACTCGGCTTGACTACTTCCTTCAACACTTCCTACGTCACAGACCTGTTTCCCTCCCTTCTCATAGCATTTTAGGATTTGAAGTACCTTAATCTAATCGTCATAAACAGTTCCCACACTCCGGACTACTCGCCTTGACTACTTCCTTCACCACTCACACGTCACATACCTGTTTCCCTCCCTTCACATAGCATTTTAGGATTGCCAATACCTTTATCTAATCGTCACAAACAGTTCCCACACTCTGGACTACTCGCCTTGACTACTTCCTTCACAACTTCCTACGTCCCGGACCTGTTTCCACCCTTCCCATAGCATTTTAGGATTGCCAACACCTTTAATTAATCGTCACAAACGGTTCCCACACTCCGGACTACTCGCCTTGACTACTTCCTTCACCACATCCTACGTCGCGGACCTGTTTCCCTCCCTTCCCATAGCATTTTAGGATTGCCAATACCTTTATCTAATCGTCACAAATGGTTCCCACACTCCAGACTACTCGCATTGACTACTTCCTTCACTACTTCCTACGTCACGGACCTGTTTCCCTCCCTTCCCATAGCATTTTAGGATTGCCAATACCTTTATCTAATCGTCACAAACAGTTCCCACACTCCAGATTACTCGCCTTGACTACTTCCTTCACCACATCCTACGTCGCGGACCTGTTTCCCTCCCTTCCCATAGCATTTTAGGATTGCCAATACCTTTATCTAATCGTCACAAACAGTTCCCACACTCCAGACTACTCGCCTTGACTACTTCCTTCACCACATCCTACGTCGCGGACCTGTTTGAAATGAAATGAAATGAAATGAAATGTGTTTATTGTCCTTAGAATTTTCACAAATTATTGACAAAGTCATACAACTGCTAAGGTTTATAGCATAGTCAGTTAATAAATACAGTAAGATACAATATAGCTAACTACATAAAATGAGACACTTTACAATACACATTTTAAATATTACAATTGAATAGGTAATCTTAATCTTAAGAAAAATTTGTGGCATTGAAAATAATGGAAGTGATTAAACCGCATAACCAACAAAGTCCAACAGTAAATAATTTGGTCAATTTGCAAACTCTTAACTCTACTTAAAAATTAATACCAGACATTTCAAAAAATTCATTTAGAGAATAGAATGGGTTGTTCAAAAGCCATCTGTAGAATTTTGTTTTAAAAGTGTTTTCAGGATATTTTTGTATTAAATGTATTAGTTTGTTGTATATTTTTAGTGAGATTACAATATGGCTTTTAAGAGTTTTAGACAGTCTGAAAAAATCTATGGCAGCAACGCTTTTATTCCTAGTATAATGAACATGAGAAATTTGTTTGATTAAGTTGGGATTTTTTAGAACGTATGATACAGAGTCAAATAAATAAATGTTAATTACTGTTGGAATTTGTAGCTGAATGAACAGGGGTTTACAGTGTTCCTGTTGGGGTTCATAGGATATAATTCTAACCAACTTCTTTTGTAAGACTAGAATTTCCTCTATCCTACTGCAATTGCCGTAAAATATAATATTGTATCTAAAAATGGATTGAAAATAAGCAAAGTAGGCTGTTTTAATATAATTTTGATCTATACAATGTATTAGTTTAGTCATAAGACAAATTACCCTTGAAAGCTTAGAACTTATGTAATCAACATGAGGTCCCCAGGAAATGGAGGCATAGCATTTTAGGATTGCCAATACCTATATCTAATTGTCATAAACGGTTCCCACACTCCGGACTACTCGCCTTGACTACTTCCTTCAACACTTCCTACGTCACAGACCTGTTTCCCTCCCTTCCCATAGCATTTTAGGATTGCCAATACTTTTATCTAATCGTCACAAACAGTTCCCACACTCCGGACTACTCGCCTTGACTATTTCCTTCACCACTTCCTACGTCACGGACCTGCTTCCCTCCCTTCCCATAGCATTTTAGGATTGCCAATACCTTTATCTAATCGTCACAAACAGTTCCCACACTCCAGACCACTCGCCTTGACTATTTCCTTCACCACATCCTACGTCGCGGACCTGTTTCCCTCCCTTCCGATAGCATTTTAGGATTGCCAATACCTATATCTAATCGTCATAAACGGTTCCCACACTCCGGACTACTCGCCTTGACTACTTCCTTCAACACTTCCTACGTCACAGACCTGTTTCCCTCCCTTCCCATAGCATTTTAGGATTGCCAATACCTTTATCTAATCGTCACGAACAGTTCCCACACTCCGGACTACTCGCCTTGACTATTTCCTTCACCACTTCCTACGTCACGGACCTGCTTCCCTCCCTTCCCATAGCATTTTAGGATTGCCAATACCTTTATCTCATCGTCTTAAACGGTTCACACACTCTAGACTACTCGCCTTGACTACTTCTTTCACCACTTCCTACGTCGCGGACCTGTTTCCCTCCCTTCCCATAGCATTTGAGGATTGCCAATACCTTTATCTAATCGTCACAAACAGTTCCCACACTCCGGACTACTCGCCTTGACTACTTCCTTCACCACTTCCTACGTCGCGGACCTGTTCCCCTCCCTTCCCATAGCATTTGAGGATTGCCAATACCTTTATCTAATCGTCACAAACGGTTCCCACACTCCGGACTACTCGCCTTGACTACTTCCTTCACCACTTCCTACCATCCATTTTATGATTGCAAGTACCTTAATCTAATCGTCATAAACAGATCCTGCACTTCGTACTGCTTGCCTTTACTAGGCCTACAATGGAGTATGATTTATCTATGCTACAATGTATCGAGCAATCTTCAGTATAATCTTTGCTCAATAGTAACATGTGATGATTTCCCTCTTGTACTGTATTTGTAATTTGCTAGTATACTGTGGGTAGTTGGCTTATAATGAACACATGCTACAACTTCAAGTCTTTTGTTTACTTTTTCCTTGTTATTTAATTCAACCAACATGGTTACTTAGCAACCCATAAGACTAATGTCAAAAATATGTGACTTTCAGTTTCGTTTTTCTACGTAATTAGATTTTTGTTGGCAGTTCTAACTGCATGAAACTTGTTTTTAGGCCAAAAATAAACTATTTACAAGATTTGAAGAAAATCGTCGGAGCCGTTTTCGAGATCATTCTGCAAGCAAGCAAGCAAGCAAGCATACATACAAGCAAACATTGCTCGTATTAGAGTATAGGATAACGGCGAAATCCTGAACATCTCCCGCGGTCGTGTACCCACCATTGCTTCCCACAATTACGGAAATGTTATCAACGTCATCGGCTCTTGTGGCAAAAGCATGAATTTATCAATAGCGCGAACTTGGCAGCCGCGTTTTGCATCCGCAATCATAAAAAGCTTGGCTTTAGCTCGATTTACGACCCGCACACTCGCTCAATGTTCAATGTGTGTGTGTGAGCTTGGCTTTGGCTCGGACTTTGTGCTTGATCTTTTGAACTTGTAGGCCAGGATCAGCTCGGCTCAAAAATCGAGCCGCTCGTACACCTTCTTTACAACCAATATCATTGAATAATATAGAAAACTAACTTGGATGGCTTATCAATGAGCCCTCCACTGGGATGCTGACAGCAGACTAGAATGTACTGTTGTAATGCCTCACTGTTGAACAGCCACTGGTCGACCTCCACTGTGGTGCTCTCTGTAAATCAACGTTAGACTATTAAGTGACAAAAAAAAAAAAAAAAAAAAAAAAAAAAAACACAATCTTGATATAGATCAAAATAATTTACTACTGGTGAGAATTGAATCTCAAAACCAGTGTAACTTATTGAGAAATTTAAATTGTGTTTCCGGCTTAGTAAGAAAGTAGACAGTATAACGAATTGCAAACACTTTCTTCACCTTATCTTTGAACACAGATTACAAATTTGAGATTTTACCTTGCATGTGCAAAAATAGCATCATGAAAAAAAATCAGTTTATTGCAATAGACAGTAGTCCAAAACTAAGTGAGATGAAATCAAAGCTTAATAAAACAGTTTCATGTGAGTGGATTCAAAGCAACAAAATTCATAAACATCAACTTCTTAACACGTTCACTACCAATCGCCACATATTTGCAACGCTGCAGTCCTTGCCACGGCCTGAGGTATACATTTTAATAGTACACATAGACCCGGTGTCACTTGGTTAACAGTACACGCAGACCACAGGCCAGAGATGCAGCTAAGTAAAAAACAGTTTTGCCAACTATCATATGACGTCACTAATAATCTTATCCACAGTCCAAGTGACACAAATATGCGACAGACATCCCTGTAGACCACTGCAGAAAATTCAGGTCCTTCAAATAGACCATTACGAAGATAAAAGCTTTTTAATAACACTAGCAGAGTACCCGTCCTTCGTCCGGGGTTGATGTATGTTTAAATGGTGCTTTTTTTTAATCTGAAGTGAAAAACAGTGTGAAATAAAATTAAATTCCAATAAACATACCTATCAAAAACTTTTAACTTACTAATTACATAAAAAACATTTTCAACAACAATGTTTATGTCAAGGGTAGGCTAAGTTAAGAGGAACTTGGTTGAAAATAATATACATGTAATGACCATGAAACGCTCGTAAAAAGTTATTCATTATTAGAATATAATGTGAAATTTACAGGAAGTGTCAAAAGTTATAATATAGATAGGTAGTAGTTGCCTCTGGATTAAAAACATCATAACTTATCTATGGGTAGTAATATGAAATTATGATTTACAAATTTGTGAAAAGGTAAATGGAGACGTAGGAATTGGCTAACTCAGGAGCTCGCTAACTCGGTCGTGTGTCGGAACTGGCTAACTCTGGAACTGGCTAACCGTCTCAGTCAGGAATTGGCTAACTCCGGAACCCGCTAACTCGATTTTGTCTCGCGGCGGAATTCGCTAACTCTGGAAGTCGCTAACCCGGCCGTGCCCACTGCATGGAGCGTTGCCAACCTTGCACGACAAAATAATCGTACATTTCCGTATTTCAAAATATCAGTGTCAATGAAGATACAGTAAATGTAATTGTTTTTGTTATCAATTTCACTTTTAACAGATAACTAGCCCAAAGTAATTCAAAGACAATTATTAAAAAATCATGAAAAGTGTTTTTTTTTATTTAACTCTACAATGGCCAGTTAAATGTTTATGATTTCGATCTTATATAAATGCCATAAGTATAAAAGAAAATAATAGAGTTGAAAAATATTGAAAAGGTACTAAATAATTTAACCTCTACGAAATTAAGCTAAAATACACGCGCTAGTTCTCAAACACGGAAAACAAATTTAATCGTAATGTCATCAAACATCAACCACCAGTCATCAACCATCGTAACTTTCATAACTAATTCATAGATTTAAAAATAAATGTTTGTCGTTGAATCGTCCAACTTACGTGTAAAAATATGACATTAGACTAAGCTTTTATCTAGGCCTAATTGTTTAAGCCAAAGCATTGTAGGCCTACTAGTAAATAGTTGCCTAATTCTAAAATGTGTTGGAATTTTTTAGTGATAATGTTACATGTTTTAAAACAGTTTTTAGATTGTACACCTAAGCACCACTAGTAAATAATAGGAGAAGATATAATACTCATATAATAAAACGTGACAGGGTAATTTTAATTCACGATTCTTAATCAACGAATTGACGGATTTTCTTAGTTGGGTTTCCTTTACATTGGTTTCACAATCGAAATAAACTATACCAAGCCATTGCTCGGTTCACCGTTCCCCGACAATAGCTTTGTTTTTGGATAAGATCAAGTAATTTTAGGTATGGCCACCATTCATAAGAATTGTAACAAACAAGAACGCCTGGGTCGATTTAGAACCAGCCTGGAGAAAAACTCCAGACTTTTAAAAAGTACGCCTACTGAAAGACGTAAAATTAATATTAATTAAACAAAATTAAGAGGATGACCCGGGTTCTACACTAATAGCCTACGATAAAAGAAATTTACAAGTTGTATTTATGCATAGACTAATATTTTTAAAGCAATCTATGAATAAATTAGGCCTACAACTTTATAATATTGTATTGATAAATATGTATTTAAATTCAATAGCTCTACTTAAAAATACATTACCACTACAATGTATTTCTGGACTGACGTTTAACGTGTAAATTTTATCATGATTTATGATTCAATTTTATGATTCAAGGTTACAAGCCCAGTATATAAAATACGAACTCAATAATTTATTTGCAGAAGTTCAAAAAATTGTATTCATTCGAATAAAAGAAACAAATGGCGAACTACGAGAATAGATATTTCATAACATGAAAAAGATCCAAATTAAATGTATATTTTTATCTTTTTGCATACCATAAAGCTACTATTTAAGTAAGAAGCCCAAACATAAAACATACTCCCTTATCTATATATTAATTTGAAACTGTTTTTCTTTGTGACAGCTAATTTGAGAGAACGGCTGGGCGTAGAAACTCGGTAGAGGTCTCTAAAGAAAGGTCTTGGTCTGTAGATGAGCCATCAAAAGAGAAACCTGGTGAATTCCCTTGGGGCTCTGCCCCAGTGGCCTTTAAATTCCCATCCCATGTTATTTTTGTGGAGGAAAAACGGGATTTTGTCACAGCTAATTTCAGAGAACGGCTGGGCGTAGAAACTTGGTAGGGGTCTCTAAAGAAAGGTCTTAGTCTGTAGATGAGCCATAAATTCCCTTGGGGCTCTGCCCCAGAGGCCTTTGAAGTTCCCTCTTCAGATTTGTTTACATCAAGACCATATGCATACATTTACACTTCTTTTTAATGAAACAGCTGTTAATATTTAAATTGTGATTTACTAAATTTGTCAAAATGAAGTATTTGCAATGGTTTTTGCTGATTTTAAAATTGATTTTCTTCTGAATCGTGCTATGTTTTGCAATATAATGTTCTTTTACCAAATCAGTGGAAAATCCTAATATCACAGTAACCCTTAAAATTATTTCTTATGGCGTTACCTGTAACTTAAATCTATTGTATGGGTTGGTTTCTGCCTTTTTTACCACTTCTTGGAGATTGCACGTAGACGATATTCTTTGGCGTATTGCATCTGTAGTAGACGATACTTGGTTGGTGTCATTTTTAAAATTACAATAAAAAAGAGAGAAATTATGGACAATTTGATATACTAAAAATAAAACTGAATTAACACTGTGCTACATTTCTTGAACAATAATTGAAAGTGCCGATTTGCAAACAATGGAAACAGGAAAGTCATAGAACACAACCAAGTACAGTAGAAGAAATAGAAATAATGTTTTTTTTAATTTATAATCGTTATTATAGTCAACCTGATGCAGCTATGAGTTGGGAAAATTTGTAGAAAACGCTAAAAAACAAGGTCAGCTTTCGGAAAAAGATAAGATATTGACAAAAAATTTTGATTATATATAACTGTTGTGTACATCTTGAGTATTTCCATAATCTTTGAGTCGACTCTTATAAAGTCATCGGAAATTATGACTGTTATTCATTTTAAAATAACGCCTGTAATGCTTCGCAATTGCTCGAATTCGAGCAACAGGTACACTAGTATTAGTATATTTCAAATCCTTATGGATCAGCTGAAAACAGTTTTATTGTTAGTTGTGTCCGGTGCACTGTCTTTAGAGGTCGTGTTTTGTTTACAATTGTTTCTTGTTTCCAGTCATTTAAAACCTCGTTTAACCAAATAAAACGTTCTAATCACAACTAATACACGTCCCCTAGTTATATAACCAAACAGTAAAGAGCAAATTATGAAGTTAACTATAGAAATAATAGAAACACAATGTTGTCGACACTAGCGATCAGTGTCACCGGACATGAACTTGACGCGAAAAACGAGCTTCAAAGTTTACAATGGGATATAAAGTTTACTTGTGTTGGTTAGTCTATGGTAAGACTATAATGCATTTTCCACCCTAATAATCATTAAAAAAATGTTAAACATACTTCTCAATATATTTATTTGATCAACTACGTTGCTCTTACTCCTAATTAATCGAAGGATACGACATTATGGTACCGATACTATATAGGTACTACACTTTCGGTAACACTGGCCGAAAATATTCGTGCTTGGCTCCCATTGGACGGCCCGCGAGGCTTCTGATTGGGAGTTAGCGAGTTCCGCCGAGGGACCGAGTTAGCGACTTCCGTACGAGGACGGAATCCGCTAACCCGGCTCTAGAGCGGGTTAGCGGGTTCCGGAGTTAGCCAATTCCGAAACCGAACAAGTTAGCGAGTTCCTCTCATCGACCAAATTTGAAGATAGGGCTTTTAACATGGGGTTAGCGAGTTCCAGAGTTAGCCAATTCCGCGGACCCGGTAAATGGTGTGAACAATATTTCTCTCAAAATGGCAAAAATACACAATTAAATATCTCCTTGAGAAAAAGATTCAATTTTTAAGGTGTGACCTACTCTAAACACATGTTAAATGTTCAACAATGTTAAAATGATTCAAGTAAATGTGAACTTTATAATTTCACTATTTTTTACACCAAAATCTTTCAAATACAATCATTCACATTAGCAAAATTTTAAATAATTAATTAGGGTTAGATACAGCAACAGATATACAATCTCACTTATTTCATGAAATCAATAATCAATGAACCATCAAATATAAGAATAAATAAACATGTCAAAGGATTGTAGAGAATATTATATGCCTATTTATAAACCAGCTGAGGAATTGTGAATTAATGTGGTTTGACAGTTCAGCTTGTTTACATTTGGATGGCATAGCAAATTGCAAACATTGTATGTGTTCTCATGGCAGCCATGGAGACCAATCAATATTTACTTTTAAAATCCTCACCTCAGAACTTTTAAAGCCAAAAAGGGGCAAAGCCCACGGTCAGTATCAAAGTGTGAATAGTCCTATAATGGTCCTTGGTATGGTAGCTATATTTTTGTAAAATTTAAGACCAGTCAGTTCAGTAGTTTATGCGCCTATTAGTAACACACATACAGACAGACACCACTAGATTTTTATATAATAGTATAGATATAGATATGACACCGACGCAAATATGCGACGTCAGTCTATTTTAATGTGACCATGTATGCGATGTGTGTGCTGTGCATATATGAGACGACAGTTTATGAGTAGAAACCGGCCGTCGCATATGTGCGTCGCTGGTCGTTATGAATGAAAAAATTAGTACTATTGCAGTAGCGAACGTGTTAATACAACCTAAATATTAAAGTAAAGGGCTGTTTGTGTGTATAGCTTCTTAGTTCAAATGTACGCCACAACAAGGCTCCTCACTGCTTAATATTCATTGCCAGATGACTGAAGGTTATAGTCTAATGCAACAGGTGAGGATTAAGTACGGAAATGCGTTGGGGAGTTTCAAAATGGCAATAAAAACATTTTACCTTTGTGACCTTTGTGTTCGGGTACCCACAAAAACACAATTTCTTCAAAAATAACATTATTACGGCCATTTTAAAACTCCCTAATCCATTTCTACACTTTACTCTCATTCATTGCTTTACGATCATACACATGAGTCATCTGACAATGAATGTCTGCAGCTGATATGTTTCTTGCAGTCAAAATCCATATCTTTGACCTTATCTCTCATGGGGCTAGACATACATCAAGTGTAAACACCAGCTACAGAGATGCAAATGGCACCGTTCTGTTCAAAATGATGCACGTAGGCATTGAGGAGCATTGTTGCAGCGTTCACATGGACTAAGAAGCTATAGGCACAAACTTAAACAACAACTCTCGTATATTGTGACATTGTATATCCACTAACCTTGCATGCAGATAATTCCTTGTATAATGGGGAACATTCCACCTTGCCAGAAGGAATAACAACCGTCAACCAGTTTGTTGGTTCTGCCTTGGAATCCTCCCTCATACCGCATCTGTCTGTTGACTGCCCATCTCTTTAACAGAGGTCCTGTTTATTACTACATCAACGTTACACTAGGAAACTTACTCTAAATTACTCTTGGTAATTGTTAAAGCTGTGATTGGAAAAATACATTATAAATTTGACAAACTTACATAATTAATTAAGGCTAACTTTTTTACCTCAATAACTAATTGTATGAACTATGATTGGACATTTCGACATTTGGCATAAAAAAAATAGATAGCCCTAACGACCATTTTAAAACTAGGGTGGTCTGCCGTTACACTTTAAACGCATAAATGAGCGAAGCATTATTTAAAGATTGTCAATGGCTAATCACTAATGGTTATGTCAAAATAGAATGGGTTAATTTAATTTAATTAATAATGGGGGGGGGGGATTTAATTTGTGTTAGATAGAAGCCAAATAAGTGCTTGCTGTAGTTTTTCACGTCAAACTTTGAAATCGATATGGCCAAATACGCCTTGACGTTGGACAATGATGACTTATAAGTTTTCAGGCACTGTTGGTAAGACAGATGCTATTTCATTAATATCTTGCTCAACATTAATGATGTTACCTTTGTAGTGAAACTGGCCATCCTGAGCATTTGCTTGTACTTTGTAAATGCGCATAGCGGGATGTACTCGTGCAATCAACATTTGTTCTACAATCATCAGGTCAGTTAATTCGTTCGGGACACTTGACACATCCATATTATTTAACGCCGTGAATTTAGTTGCATTTGAACGACAACGCGAACAAATCGGTGATTGGTTTGAAGCTGTTAGTTGTTGGCGATGACAGTTAGTGCAAGTGTAAAATTTTAGTGCATCTAATTCATGTTGGAATTGATTAGCTAACTGCCTATCATTATCAGCTTCTTCCGCCACTGCTTCATCTGGTTCTTCTTGTCCACGACGCCACTCTCTTACAATATTTGCATTATTGGTGTGACGACCAATAAATTACGACGTGGCCTTTGAGGCATGCTCAAAACAAATATAGCAAAACTGTTACTTCCATTGATAAACTGTTACATTCCAACTGTAACCTAGGATGAAAGTAAACATTGAAATGTAAACAAAACAGTTACAAACAATTAACATATGTTTATCTTATTTAAATGAAACGAGATAAACCCATATGTCATAAACCCAATATAATTTTTCTTTCAACTTACATTAAAATAACAAGCGAAACTGCGTGGCCCGTGAAATAAAATCCAGAAGGAAATTTGCAAATATTTTTTACCAAAACATTGTGCTCAGTATTCTTTAGCTGTTGGCCAAATTTCATATCAATTGGTCAAGCCATTACATTCTGATGATCTTACAAAGAAGTTACAAAGTGAGGGAAAGTGAGCTTCGCTCAATGAAGTATTACATATGAGTTCAAGTGTGGTCCCACACCATTTACAGTTCCGAAAAGTAGCTAGCAACAACTACAGCTACAATGAAATGTAGCTACAGCTACAATTTTAGCTACTTTTCCAAAGACGTTACTTTTTATTCCACACACATTAGGTAAATGTAAAATTAATTGCAACTACATTTTTATTGAACAAACATTTAAACAAAAAATGTCAGTATTGTATCTAACATTACTTGGAAAACAAATTATTCCTAGATTGTATTTAATTTGTTGGCATTATAAACCTAACATTAAGTACAACAACAGAACCAAATAGTTGGGTGTCCCATCATATTTAGTACTTATTTTTAAATATTGCATTATTTTGAAGCATCTTATACGTAAATTTCATTAAGTTCAAAGAACATACAACCAAACTATATTTTAAAAGCTCATTTTATTTCTTTGATATAGATTCATTTATAGATGTCTTATATCAACAATTAAGACCAATAAAACTGTAAAACGATTATTTAAAAATACTTTTTTGTGTTACAGAGCCTAGCCTACTGAAATTGGAGTTTATTGCCTTTCTTTACTTTTAATGTTAAAAACAACATTGCTATAACTTTTAACCATAGTTATAAGTTACTTGTTCTATGAATAACACTTTTCAATGTCAAGAAATCATCCTTTATTGTCATTATGCATAGGGCAAATTGTGCTTCAACCTAGTTGGTACAGAAAACAGTATTCAGCAACTTATCCTGAAATCGGCTTTTAATTTAAACATGTTGAAATTTGTAAAGTAAAAATAACATGTAGGCCTACTTGGCTATGTAACAAGTTGTCTATAGTGGGCTTGTTCTTGCAAGGACTAAACAGATATATTCCTAATAATTGAACATGGAACTTGGTATTCGTCTTAAACCATAGCATAGCCTAGGAATAGTCCTATACAAGAGCTGTTAGCAGGAGCAAACTATGCTATTTTTTCAATGTAAGTTTCATGTTCTAAGGAGATGTTTTCGTTACAATTAGCATGTAGTCTAGGCATATCTTAAATCTCATCAGGTAATTTCCTCTTTGTTAATTTAGTAAACCTTTGAAAAATCTTCGTAATCTAACCAAGGAAGGGCTTGTGATGATGAACCACAATCAACAGCTGAAGCAAAGGTTGATAGACCGCCAGCTTTCTCATTATTTTAAGGTTTAGTGTTGGTTTCCAATAAACCCCAAGCTGAAACACTATCGATATAAAAAAGAAACTAAATTGATTACTAATTTCCCTATCAATCACTTGCATAGCTTCTCTTGTCACCGGTAACGTTTAAACGTTGTCTTCGTCTGCATCTAGCGATTTTATTTTATCTGACAGTAATCATAGAGTAGTAAATTAAGGAAATGAGAGCAAAAATGTGGATAACACTCATTTAATGGCCTCCATGTCCACACAACGTTGTAATAGGGAATGAAACGGCTGCAACCAGCTGTATGAAGCCAAGAAAGTAGGCCTAATTTTTTTTGAAAATCTCAGTTTGAAAGAGGTTGTTTCACGTAAGGTTGAGGTTATGATAAAAATCACTATCTCAAACAATGTTAATGTAGCGAGAAAAGTAGCTAAAATTCTGCTACAACTATTTAAAAAATGTAGCTAGCTACAGCTAAAGCTACAAAATCTTAAAAGTAGCATAGCTACAGCTAACGCTACAAAAAAAGTAGCGCGCTACTTCCCAACACTGCACTATTGTAATTCTTAACGAATTAACAATAAAGAATATTGTATTGTATTGTATTCAGGGTGTCTACTACATTCTGGATAAAAAATTCATGGACAATTCCCGTACATTTAAGGACACTTTGCCGTAACCTTTGTCGGTGTTACTAGGCCTACCGAATAATTTTCCTGATTTGTCAAACTGTATTAATCTTGTTATTCACTGTAGTTGTACCAGAGAGAAAAGTAAATAATAATAGATAAGAGTTAAAAATTTCAAAAAAGAAATTTATTGAAAGTAAACAAACATAGGCCTACCTATACTTTAGGTAAAGCTTTTATAGTGTAACAGAGAAACGCAATCATTGTCTCCTGCGATAGCGACAAATATCTCCATCGGTCACGTAAACTTCATAACATAGCTTATCCGATCCAGGGCGATTAATTTGGCATGATTCGTCCTGGCACAATGTTAGGTTCTCGACTACTTTTGAAAAAAAATCTTTAATGCATATTTTTACTCAATTCTTAGTACAAAATCAAGGTATGGTAAGCGGCTATAAAGCAATAAGCACAGAGTAAGATTATTGTATTTTCATTTGCAAAGTTAATATCTAAACATAGCAATCATTAGTTGTTCATCTTAGGCTCAATTACATTTTCTTAATATATTTTACAGCTCTTTCAAGAATCAAAATACCCAGGCCTAGACCTAATTATTTAGGAGGGCCTATATAAACTGAGCAGGGCTGTGCGAATAGTTCGAAAAACGAATCGAATCCGAATCTTTTTAGAGATTCGATTCGGATTCGAGAACGAATCTACTGTTTCTAACTGGATTCGGATTCGGAATCGATATTCGAATTTACTGGTAAGAGATCCGGGTTTGGATTCGATATTCGAATTTCTTGGAAATAGATCCGAGTTGGGATTCGATATTCAAATTTACTAGATTCTGATTGAATATAATTTTCAATATAATTTTTTAGACACTAAAAAACTACTTGTGCACTCCGATTTGCTGTTGACTGATTCATGTTAGGAACCTGACCAACTTGGTGTTAGGTTTTAGGCACATTAGTGTAGGTCGCATTTTAACCCTATCTTGGCTATCAGTAAACTTAACCTCACAGTGTTAGTTGTTACTTGTAATAGTAATGCAGACATAGGCTTGTGTGGAGGATTAAAACCGAGGTGTAAAATGTAAAATTAATTGCAACTACATTTTTATTGAACAAACATTTAAACAAAAAATGTCAGTATTGTATCTAACATTACTTGGAAAACAAATTACAGGGTGTCTACCAGATTTCTCAAATGGAATTCCCGACTTTTCATTACCATTTTTATATAAATCCCGACCAAAAACTCGGTCCATTCTTCATGTTACTACACCTTTTTCCATCTCGCGGTCACGGTACCTTCTTCAACATATGTTGTCACTCGCGACGCAGCGAAATCACTGACGATCGAAACGAATCACATGCCGAGAAAATCCCGTATTAAATGTAGGGGTGTGTGAAGCAGCAACAAATTTCAATTCAAAGTAACGATTCGATTTAAAAAAAAATGTTGATGTAACTCGATTCAAAGCAACATGGAATTTTTCTATTCATACTTGTCAGTGGAGTGAAATATCTGTTTTCAATCATACATTAGAAGAACCAGTGTTTCTCAGTGTATGCTATGTACTTGGATGGCGTCTGTATGGTAAGCAATGTCTCAGTGTATGCTATGTACTTGGATGGCAATAACCTGTATGGCTGAGCAATGTCTCAGTGTATGCCATGTACTTGGATGGCAATAACCTGTATGGCTGAGCAATGTCTCAGTGTATGCCATGTACTTGGAAGGCAATAACATGTATGGCTGAGCAATGTCTCAGTGTATGCCATGTACTTGGATGGCAATAACCTGTATGGTAAGCAATGTCTCAGTGTATGCTATGTACTTGGATGGCA